TCAGGTAGGTTTAGTGCTAGAAAGCATTGGTTATGCTGAGGGACATTGCGTTTGGTAGCACTCCCCATTTTCGTCCATCCCTCCGAGGTCTCCGATGCGGCGGAAGGCAGGGACTACACAGGCGCTCCTCCATCCTTATGTGCCTGTGCTGTGGTGTTAATCGTCGGTAGTGAAACTTCCGTCGAGCCCTTCGAGTCCTCGGCAACTATCACAGGAGCATCCTTCCTACTTTTCTTCCGTCCTTTGCGACGCGGTGTAGCAGCTGAGTCAGGAAAAATCAGGGTTGATGCATCTGGCAGGGAAGCACTGGCGCTCAGTTCGGACGTGTGCGTCGCCTGCTGTGGGGTGATCACTGGAGTTGAGCATTTAGGTCGTTTGCTAGGTTTTCGGATCGGGCTAGCTGGTGTGATCTGTGAACTTAAGTCCACTAATTTTGCTTCAAGTGTGGCGATTTTTGAGTTCGCTCTTTCTTCGGCTGCTGACAAAAGCCTCTCGTATTTGTGTGTGATACAGGTGATGCATTTTACAATCGGGATTTCCGCACGTTCGGTACAGAACCATATACGTTCTGGCTGGGTGTCTAACTGTTTTACCTGTTTTACCGACAGTTTGGCACATGAACGGTGAAAGTGTTTCTGGCATTGTGTGCAAAATATCCCCGTTTTAACTTCTTTCTTACAACTCCGTAGGCCGCATACTTCCCATGTCGTCGAAACACCTGGTGCGGCACTTGTTGAGACTATGCGATGTTAAGGAGAGGAAACTGCATCTAGCATGCCTTATAATCAAACTGAAGAGGATCATATGGGAGATCAGTGGTGGACTGAATGCGCTTAAGAACAACACGTTCTGCTAGCTTTAGTCCACCAGAGGTTGAAGCAATAGAACAAAAGCGTTTGGTTAGAACTTTCGAAGTAGAGGATCTGGGAATAGGAACAATTGTTACTGGTTTCCAACAGTCTTATATAGATCAGATTTTTAAGGAATTGTTCAAAAATCAAGTCAATGTTTCACTGAGAGAATAGGGAAGATGACAGACCACTGGGACCAACACTGCAGGTGGTTTTCACTGTACGTAGAAGCTCAAAAGTTTCTTCTTTCGAGATGACCTCTACTTGAACTCGTCCAGAGCAAATGACGTGATCGCATCGCCTGACGGGTGGATAAATGCTACATTACCACCGGCCAAACCTGTTGTACAATCCGGCGTTTGGGATTTGGTTCCACACAGCAATTCGATACCTTGCCAAATTCACTTACTGTGGTTACATTACAGAAGCTGGGAGGCTTTCGACGCAGCGAGGTGTTTTACTTCAGCTTTGATCAAGTTGGTGTAATGCTTGACAGCCGCTGAGTCTCTAGATTTGTACGATCGTTCCTTCTATCTTCTGAATGACTTCAGCAGTGGAGATGTTATTCTACCGTTACAAACAAATAGAGTTCCAAAAGGGCGGCATAGATCAAACGTGTGGTGAAGTGTTTCAGTGAATAAGTTGACTGCATTGCGTAAAGAGGGATAAGAAAAAACCCACAAAGAAACGACACCGATGGAACGCTTAAGAAGAAGGGTGTTTCTTGGGGAGAGATTGCGAAGACGAATGGTGATTTAATTGGTTCTTGTGAGTGTATTGTGAATGGGACGGGAGTAGACTGTGGGTCTTATGAGAATCAGTACATGATCACTAGTGGAAATAGATGTTGTGAGTTTTGGGGCAAAATTTTCTGGGTAATTAGTACTTACCTTGGCTAAAAATGAATCACCTCTTGTGGGGGAAAAGGGAATATCAGTTAAGCTAAAATGAGTTATGGGATAGGTGGATGCATGATTAAAATCACCAACAATGATGTAGAGATTATCGTCTATGAGGGGAACGGGAGACGGAATAAATGCATCAAAGAAAGATGAAATATGAGACTGGGTACAAAAAAGTGGTAATGATTGTACTTCTTTATTGCGCAACTCTAGGGAAACATTGAATGGCTAAGCGGTCGATGTCATCGGTGGAATAAGCAAAAAAATTTCACACTTGGAGCACACAATCTTCGGAGACACATTCACCTAATTGGCTGGCTAACCAAACTTATTCGCCTCGAGTTGCAAATACACGAGTTTGAGCCATGCATCAATACTCTGAGAACACAGTGTTTCGACCATGGAGTTCTCGATTTTGGAACAGATCACGCACATGTTCCGGCTGAAGTGACATTTCTTGGACCTTGTGAAACAGATAATAAATAGAATGTGATAACGTTAAATTAATAAAATAAAAAAATTTATACAGGAGGAGCCCGATGGTGCACAGTGAAGGTGGTTTTGGCATGATCATTTGTTTGCTGCTTGCTACGGGAATTGTTTGAGAGTTATTGGAAACATTTTGATCCGCATTTGTGCTATAATGCTTATTCTCGTGCGTAAACATATCCCGTAAATGGCAAAAGCGAGAGGCGTCTCGTAGGATGTGAAAGTGAGAGAAATCAGTAAACTGCTGCTCCCCATGTTTAGCCTCTCGAGTGACCTCTCCGAGGGTGACAGCGTTTACTTAAAGCAATCACTGGGTGCCAAAGTAGCTGGCCTACCTACAACTTGTCCCTCGGTTCCAACTATGCGGTCTGGTAGCGATTATTCTACTTGAGAGTTATCACGAGCAGAATCTGTCAGTGTTTGGAATTTTTTGGGGTGGGTTAATGAGAGTTGAGTTCCTTAAGAACTTCCATTTTGGTAGAAATGTGAACATTTCTTTTATTCATTTCCGATTATCCTGTTTCCCTATTCAAATTACAGATCCAGTGGATTATCGTTTGACCGTTTTAGAACCTGTCGAACCTGTTATTGACCCTCGAAAACCAAGAACATTTACATGCGTGCTTCTGGTTGGCACTCAGACACCTAATGCGATTCAAAACGAAACCAGATGGTTGCGTAATACAACAAAGGGTTTGGAACTTCTTGCGACCAACAAGATCCGTGTTAGTGTTTATACCAAACCCGGAGTTTACCAACCTCGTTGTGTTTCTAGCAGAATACAGTTGGATGTGTTCAAAGAAATAAACTTTTTTGTGTATCGTAAGTTTCCAATTTGCGGATCTTTGTTTGGCCAGCTGATGTTTAAACGTATTAAATTAAACAACGACATACCCATCGCTTTTATCTACATTGCAATGTCCGACCAGATTTCTAGTTATCTACTTGAGCCTATCTATATATATTTATACATTTGATTCACAGTTATTTGTGAGTAGTTGTGTGATATATACCTCAATAATACGCCCTGATCGTTCTATGGATTTCATCTTTACACATACTTTCCACTTTATCCGATCAATTACGCATTAGTGTATGGATGTAACACCAAACCGCATTTTCTCTCCCAATAGAGTTCATCCATATTCTGTGTTCAGCGATCCTACCGGGATGTGAATCCCGTAGCCTTAGCATAGAATAACTTTGTCACCACCGGGACTAACATGAAAAACCAATTCCTATTTGTTTCTCTGATAGCGATATTCAAACAGAGCATTCAATAGTTTATTTTAAAGGCATATTTCTCTCATAGAGAAGTGGTCACGCAAAGAGCTGCTATGGAAAGCCAATAAACTGGGAATGTTAGGTGACAGTACTGGTGGAAATTGAACAAAAGTTGACTTGGATTATCCTGGGTTTCGCAGTTTTCCTTGGCTTTGATAAGTTGAATTCTCTCTAACAATGCAAGGCACTTATAGTATTTAAGCACACGTCTGTTGGGTTTTCTCACCGGTATACTTTCCCAGAGGCGGAGTCCGGTTTTTAATTTCACAAAGTTTTGGACACCGGTAATGCACATCTATGATAACGCACAATAAAAATATTCGGTACAAGTCATACAGGTAGAGATGGAAAACTATATCAACACAAATTGCTGCAGTCGATTATTCTGTTTCAACATTCCCCAGATAGTGAGTCAGATGAAATTTCATTCGATAGATTCTCCGAAACCACGTAATTGAGTGCTTATATTTACTATCTAGACAATGCCATCTTCATGCGTATACTTTGCTCTACCTTATACGGTGCATCCGGTATTTCTTTCTCACGATAGAACACTACATTACGATTCAGCTCCAACAAATCCCATCAGACAAGGCGATCTTACTGAACGAGGACGAACCGTTAGCTGTGCGGCTTACACTTCGTCAAGCACTATTTCCCGGAGCAGAAACCTTATTAGATCAGGAACAGCGAACTTGTACTGGTCACGTAGAACAAGTGAACAAGATCAAACACCCTATTCAGTTTCGAAATTTCATACCATTTTCACAGATACCGAACGGTTTACTTCGTTTGAACTGTTATTGTCGACTCCAAGGCTGCATGGCGAAATTCGTTTCGATAATCGCAC